ACCCTCACAGCAGGGGGTGGGAGGCCCGAGACCGGAGTCTTGAGAGCGGTAGTGGAAGCCCGGGGCCTATGCGACCCGTAGGAGCAAGCGAGAACGCCACGCCCCTCGAGCCAATAGTCGGCGGCCCAGCCGTGCCTGTCAAGCCAGATTTACATTTACGTATTCAATCTTACACCAGTTTTGTTGCCAGTTATACCAGTTGTGGAACCGAGCCTTAATCCCGGTTCCACAACTCCCGATTTTCATAAAATTCTAATCCTCCACCTACCGACATTTTCGGACAATTCAAAATTTATCCGGATAACAGGAACCGACCCCACCACGTCTCGAGCGCGATCTAAGCACCTCTCGCGGCCGGTGACAAAGCTGGGTGCAGGACCGCCACAAGGGAACGGATGCAGAGCTATCTGTAACCTATACTAGGTATATATGTACATATATTTACGTAATTTCAAAACTTCACCAGTGAAAGCCTTTATAACCGTCAATGTATTAAGTAGTTCGTGATACTTTGCAAAGCATTAGTTCAAATTTGTTGTTGCTTGTGGTTCGTTGTAGTCGTTCGAAACTGTTCAAAATTTTTTCTAATTGCTATATTACAGAGGACATTGAAAGTCTTGAATGTTTCATACAGAGATTAAACGCCAATTTTTTCTGCCAATAGTTCTAAGCTCTGCGTGTATTGAATGTGTTTTTGAATGATTTTTTTATTGTTCTGGTTAGGTCCTATTTAAGCGTACTTATTATTTGTAATAAAATGGACTCTGCTGAATACGACATTTCCATCAATGGTGGGTTAATGCCTGTAAGTATCGTCTTTAATTTCTTGTTTTACTAATTTTATCTATGGAGTTCGTCTGAATACAAATTGTTTCGTTTCAGCAAATACAAGCTCTTATTGCTCCACCAGTATCTGAGGAAAATAAAGCCTTAAAAAGTAAGCGAGAGAAGTACGAGAAGAGACATCCATATTTTAAAAGGCCTGGACATGGCCATAATCGAGATTCGTGTGATGCATGTCGAGATGGAGGAGAGCTCATATGCTGTGACAAATGCCCTGCTTCGTTTCATCTCCAGTGCCAGTAAGTATAGCTCATGTTTTGAATATTCCTGATTTATTTATTGTAATTTATATCCGAGAAGGTGTACATTTCAAATAATTGCTAATTTGTCCAGGGCTGTGAAATTAATATAGTTAGAATGATGTTTGTTAAGCGATTCTGTATCCTTACGTAGGCTATTTTATTTTTCCGTATCTTAGTAAAAATTTAGTGATATTGATATTATGCATAAGTAGAAATACGAATTTATTTTAAAATAGTTGCCTTATAAAATAGGTTTATGATGCAGGATAATAAACAATATATTATGAAACATATTTAAAAAGATCGCAAATAATTTAAATGAATTGGCTAAAAAAAAAATTACTTTTAAGTTGTTTAGTTTTGTATGAATGAAGATTATATATGGAATGTCAAGGATAATCACCTTGTTAAAATATAAATGTATTCTTATGTCATTAAATTTAATTTATCTAGTGATCCACCCTTGGAGCCAACCGATATACCAAATGGGGAGTGGATGTGCCATTCATGTCGTTGTGCTGCAAAAAAAGAAAGTCATATAAATAGAAAAAGAAAACGAAAATCTCCTTTAGAAACTTTAGTGTTAGCAGCTTCTCTTATGAATCCTCGAGAATTTGAGTTACCTAATGAATTACGAATAGCAATGACATTTCCTGGAACGGATAAAATAGATCAACCTGAGAAACGAGGGCGTCGATTTAATTCCAGTAATACCAACGGTAAGCAAAATTAATGCACTGAAATGACTTAAATACTGTTAAGATGTTAATACAACATTTTTAATTAATAATTTAATAGAACATTATAATTTCCAATTTGTTTTATTTTTATAACAGGGAAGAGCCATTGTTTGGATAATGGTTTAACAGTGCCGTTACCTGCTCGGTTGTGTTTTGAGTGTGGCCGGAGTTGCCATAAAGCTCCATTAATTGCATGTGATTACTGTCCTCTCTACTTTCATCAAGACTGTTTGGATCCTCCACTGACTGCAATTCCCAGTGGACGGTGGATGTGTCCTAATCATCCAAATCATTTTATAGACAACAATCTTTTAACATCCTGTAGGGCGACTGAGCGTTTAAAATTGTGGGATAAGTTTGCATATCGACGTATAGACCAACATGCTGTGAAAATGGAGTTTCTGCGAAAAGCACGTACTGCAAATCCAGCATTTAGGATGAAAGTTAGGCTCGATGGAAGGTTAACTGTGAAGGTTCCACTTACGGTTAAATTTCACTATGCTAATCCACCTGAATTGGACTTAGTTCGTTGTTATCCAATGTTAAATAAGCTTCCACCTTTATCACGGAAAATTCACCAGCAAAATGGTGGTGTTAAAGTTCATAAAACAGAAGTAGAGAAAAATTGTGATGAAGATAAGACAGATCTAATAAATATATTGAATGTAACCGATGACGCTCGTAATATTACAGACAGCACAGAAAACATTCAAGATCATAACAATGACAACAAAACTGATCAAGCATGTCCAATTCAGACTAGTGCAAACGAGGATACTGAAGGAACAAGAATAGTTTTCTGGGATAATGAGGAAGAATATAGCGTAAAGGAAGGGGTCCAGATATTGGAGAGACCAGTATTGGAAATGTTAGCTCAACAGAGACTGGAACAAATATTAAACCCAGAAGGTGAAGAATATGAAATGGTTAATTGTGTAACCAAAGCAAGAGCTGTGTTGTTTTCACTAGGTCAAAAAACAAGTTCTCCAACATTTATGGTCTATAAGACATTAACTATTGGTACTGGATCCAACTGTGATTTAGTGTTATCCAGATATGGCACCTGTAACTGCACATCTGCAAAACATGCCGTCATTTTTTTTGACGAGGTAAGACTTGTATTGTACATCTTAAAAAAATATAACAATACCACTATATATATCCAATATTGGAAAGAAGTACAAGAAGTATATTTTCGTATTGTAAGTTTACATGCAAGTATATATTTTAATAAATTAAGTAGATGATAAATTTCTGTCATTCATTCATAAAATGTCTTGTTTGTAAAAATTGTTAAATAAGAATATTTTTTTCAGACGACCTTGCGATATGAATTGCTTAACTATAGTGAATATGGAACAATTGTTGACAATGTATTGTATTCGTGTGATTATACCAGCCTTGGATTTACACAAGAGAGTGACACTAAAATTGAAGACAGCATTTCCTCTACCAAAGAGCAGGATGCATCGGAAGACATAAAACGAATTGTTTATCAGAGGAGGAAATGTTTACCAGAAGGTCGTCATAAACAGGTGCTGTGTAAATGTTCAAAATCAGTCAATAACAACGACGTTTTTCTAGAAGAAGGTTGGGAAGGAACAGCTGTGATCACCCATGGTTCCATTTTGAGGTTCGGTTGCCTAACATTTGTATTTAGTTCAGTGGATATGTTGCTAAATCAATAAGGTGCAATATCACAGTTTATGTGCTCTAGATTTTCAATTTTTACATGTGTATATGTACAATGTTATATGTAATAAAATGTCAGAATGGGCAGATTTTTTTCTCCAAACATGAAGAACTGAACATCCCAGTTTCAGAACAATATATCATGTGTTTACTAGTACCTCTGAAGTCTTGAAAAATGATTAAATGTTTGGACAATTGAAACAAACATTATCTTTAGATATCACTTTATTCATGTTCAACGTCATTAAATGTGCAGAACAATTGTTTATGACTAACATTATGACATTAATAAATGCAACATATTTATTTTCCTTAGTCACACTGGAATTAATAATATCATACAAAACTATTTTTTATCAGTCTAACAATCAACATACTAGGTTACAATGAAGATCCTGTTTAAATCGGTGATTGTTAGGCATTTAATGCGATATAAGGAACAAAACGTGACATAATGCAGATTTTAAAAAATTGTGCTTGACGTAGACTCAAATGCAAAATTAATACTCATTGCTGTGAAAAACTATATAAAAAAATACAAAAAGTGTCTGATCGGTGTGTTCATCGGCACTGTTCGTTCACTCTTGTGTAATTCTAACAATACTTTCAATACTGTTACTGGCATGTGCAGAAAGATTAAAATGTTTCCTGTCCAAGTCCACCATTGTAGGCATAGTCGGCTTTGTTATGCATCACTAGTTGATTGTCGACAAAATAAAAGGAATCTGAACGAGTTTCAAAGGGATGAGCGATCATATCTGCAACTAACATATTGAAATAAAGTAATAAATATTTTATTAACCATGGCCAATAATTAAATAGCAAGTGGAAACGTTTTCTAAATTTATCACTAGATAAATATATAAATCTTACCCAATTCTGCAGAAAGGGTTGGAAATTCATATATGTGCTCACATGTATTTTTGCTATTTGGTATGCAAAATCCAAATTCAAAATCAAATGTTTTAAGTAATTTATCTCGAAAGAAGTGACGTTCTATCATTCGGAACTTGTTAACTGGTTTAGCACCTATCAAAAATTCAACAGTGGCACCAATAGTTTTTAGTTTCAGAAACTGAGGTGTAAATTGATATCGCACAAAACGACCCATGTTTGGATCTTCTCCTGATGTGTCTTCAAAGTCTGGATTTGAATCTTGGATATCACCACCTTTTGTGGTAAAAAAATAAAAACTAGTAATCTATTAATTACATCCAACTACAATAAAAAGTAAACTAATGGATACATTTTTTTTTCTATATTATAAAAATTGTCTACTATCTTTTGAATTTATACTAACCTGCCGCTATTGGTTTTGCTATTTCAAACAGTACTGTACCCGTTTCAAGGTCTCGTATTTGAAATCTGGTAAAATCAATGTCATAAACATTTGCTTCCGGAGAACATAAATATTCTGAAAAGCAATGGTTTTATTATTTTATACAAATAAGAAACAATTGAACAATGCTTATATATGAATATAATTAAGAAAATATTACTTTCTGTTATTGTAGGCAATTTCAAGACCATCTCTGGTGTGATGGGTTCCTCTACTTGTCCATTTATAATATTTTCGTTAATCATTACTGACTTCAAAGGAACCGAAGATCCGTTGTATTTACTTTTGTGTTCCATATTCAGAGTATTCATTGTCATTTAAAAAATTTCAATATTGATTTTATTAGTCCGACGAATATGAATCAAACACAATGTCACGTTGTGACAAACTCATGTTTTCCATTTTTTCATCAATTGCGCTTATACGGTTCAGTGTAATTTATTATAGGTACTTGTCAAGGCAATGTCAATGTATCACGTGACCGACATGAACAACGTGATTCGCGACAGCGATGACCGCAACTGATCGTAGTTATGTTTTATTCGATAACGCATAAACGTTATAAACCTATATTAGGAGTAGTATAAGTATAAAATATTGAATCTGAAAGGAATGTGTTGGGAGATTGCTCACGGGCAGAGTCGCGCGATCGCATCCTGTGCTGCCCTCTGGTTTCGTACGTTTGCTTTCACCGTTTTTTGCCCCCATTTGCGGATAAAATCAGAGATGCTCATCTCTGATAAAATAAATAAAGTAAGTGAACGGTTAAGTCAAAGAGAGCGCCACGAGTTTCTTCCCTTACTACCAAAAGCGAGCAGTGTCGGTAAGCGTAGGTAAACCACCACCGTCAACAGTCGCATGGTATTACCATCACGAGTACATAAGCTGCCAGACTACTGATAGATGGCACCGCCATTCGGAGTGTGCGAGTCCCTACCAGAAATTTGTTGCGTCGCCCTTGGGGGCAAAAAACGGTGAAAACTAACGTACGAAACCAGAGGGCAGCACAGGATGCGATCGCGCGACTCTGCCCGTAAGCAGTCTCCCAACTCATCTCTGTGTAAACGTACTTTTAAATCTCATCACATCATTTCTCCAGCTCCATTATGCCACAGATGTAAACGTCGTCGTCGAGGTGAAGGGAATTAAAAGAGGTGTGATGATTATTTTTTTCTTTTAACAAAGCTAACATGAGCGAATTGTCCGGATGTTCTTAGGCCAATAAAAGAAATGGATTCAACGAAGTGTATAATATCGATTTTTCGAAAGTAGGTTTTTAAAGTGACAAGTACAACAGAATATTTATTAATTATCTCTTTGACATCTCGGAGCAAAGCGTAATGCCCTGTGTTGTGCTGAAGGGGATTATCAAAACGTTTACGTCGCTGAGCTAAAAATAACTGAAATTGCGTCAAAATGATGAAGTCGAAATTTGGTAAAAATCTGAAACTTTTCGTAGTAAGGAGGTACATATACACTTTACCTTATCCGATAACTAACAGTGCTGCGCTTGAGAGGGCCAGAAATGGTTAACAGCAGTAAGCTCGTACTTTTGGGAATGGGTTTTTCTTCGTTAGGCATTAGTGTATAATTAAATAACAACTGTTACTTAGGCAGTACAATTTTTATGAAGGTATCAATATATCGGAGTGGTGAAGCAGATGTGTAAAAACTGTACTATTATAGTGATTGCCTATTAAATAAGACTATTTCTCCTTTTGTCTTTTGAGAGATAAAAGGTATTTTATTAATGCTTGACCTTAATGCATAAGAAAGATTAAAATGAATATCATAATGGGCTATCGATTTATCAAGAATTTTTATTTTAGTAGAGAGATAAGTAAACAATCCAAGAATCAATTGGATAATGAGACTAGTGTCTTGCAACTGCTTCTACTGCATGTCATTATTATGGCAGGGATTCGTCGATTCGTCGAACGTCAGCAGTTGGTAATTGACATTTTAGTATTCTACTTATTCTTATCATTGTTGTGATTTTATGTAAAATTCAATGGAGAACTGCAGCTATGGTATGTCTTTCTACAGGACCCTAGGATTTCCTTGACATCTTGGTTAAATATGCGAAGCCAAAATACAGTGGCGACAACTTCGGAGTTGCCGGAAAGCGTTGTAATAAATATCGACAACCAGTTTGCCATTTTGGAAAATGATATTCTACGGCAAAATCAGTCCCATTATCACCATCATCATCGTGCAACTCCAATAGACAATTCTGTGCATATACATAACTCCGCTACCGAGGTTCATAATAATACTAATAGCAATGCAGGGGAAGATTCTAATAATGGGCTGCAATTACAACCTCATGCAAGAGAACTACTTAATTATGTGCTTAAATTCGGTCCTTTCATTATGGTGTTACTTGTGAAAGCTATTTATGATAATCGCTCTGAGATATTTTATGTTTTGCTGCTGTTGCTAATTTCCATTCTTGCCAACAACGAATTGAAACGAGAGATTGCAAAGCAACAAAACAAAAGTTATATGGCACTTCTTGGCATTCTCTGTTACATTGGGATCAGTATAATCTTTACGGACTCAATGTTTAGTGGAAGATTACTCTTTCCATATGATCATCCTACAACATTATGGGAATTATTGTGGTCTGTGTGCATTACAGATTTTGTTTTGAAATTAATCACCATTGTTTTTAAAGTTCTTTTAACATGTTTGCCTGCTACACTACTGGCACTTCCAAAAAGGGTAATAATATAATACATACAACTGAAGCAAAGCATTAATTGTACGATAGGTTACAATGAAATAATGTTTCAGGGAAAATATTATCTTGCGGTAGAAGCAGCCTCGCAAACCTGTAGATGTATAGCACCAATTCCATCATGGGTGAATTATTTATCCGAACCTTACAAAGGCTTTGAGGTAGCTTCCGGAGTGTCATGGTCTATAATGTACATAATTAGCAAGGGTGGTGACTTACTTCCTCGACTTAAGTTACTTCGTACCGCTGTGTGGAAACTGTTTCAAAACGTGGTATGTATTAATGTATTAATTACAAACAAAGTTTAACCATACTAGGAATAATATTGGCAAATGTGACGTACTCAACTCTTCGTATTACAAGAAATATTTTCTAAGATACTGTTTCTGGTTTTCAGAATTTAGGAGTGTCCCCATCTGTAGAACAATTAGAGGCAGCAGGTGGAATATGTACAATATGTCACGAAGAGTTTTCTATACCTGTTAGACTTTGCTGCAAGCACATATTCTGTGAAGCTTGTGTATCAATTTGGTTGGACAGGGAGCGATCGTGTCCTTTGTGCCGTACATATGTAACAGATGACCCAAGCTACCGAGATGGGCACACATTTTTTGCTCAGTGGTACTAAAGCCTCCAGTAAAAACAGTGAAATTCCATCTTTCTTCTGCAAATATTTAATGTAACACAAGATTCCAATATTGTTAAAATCAATTTAATTCCTCCCTACGGTGTTAATCCGTTCAGCCATTTAAAATCTTTAAGTATACTTAAGAATCGGAAGCCTTATGTAGTGCAGGAAAGTGTACATAGATACCAACATAACATTAAGTTTTTAATCTGACCGATATGTTTTTATCAAGTTGATCGAAACGTATCCATTAAATATATATAATCGTCATTGTATACTAAGCAAAGGCGTGGATGCACAAGGCTAAGAAAAGGCATCATTTTCCAACTATCTTACCTAAACTATGCAAATTATCATAAAAGCTCCAATTTGAAGCGAATGAGTGTTAAGTAGGTGTAAAACTCGGTAAGAATGTCAATTCCATTACGAAGATATGTGAAGCATTACAGGAGAAAAAGATTTTGTAAAATATATTGAAAACAATAAACTACCATTGTATATTTATAAAGAACTCATCTATGTATATATTTATTGCTAAGTCAAATAATGTTCAATAAGATGCCTAACTCGGCGTAAAATAATGTTGGAACAGAAAAACGGTATCCTTTAAAAATTTGAGCCATAAATCAGTTTTTATTTTACTTGCTTAGCGGAAGAGTTGTTGACTACCGGTGTTGGACTTTACATAAGACTCGTACATATACGTACGTATGTTCAATAAAAACAGGGATTGAAATATCAGTCCCAGATTTTTGAATGTGTCAACATCCTGCCTGCATTTTGATTTTTTTTTTTTTTTTCGTTTAATTCTAGATCTGACGAATGTTTACAACCTCTATGTTTTCAGAGCAGTCAATTTTGCCGTGAGCCATGAACTGGTTTGTATAGCTGCAATGTACACAGCCGTGCAGATTTGTACGAACAAAATTGAGAGAGTCTAGTGACCGGAAGTAACGGCGAAGAGACGGGAGGCAGGCGATTTGCATCGAATCGAAAAGAGGCAGATAAGCCAATAAATAATACACCGATTTGTATCGTGTACAAATTTACGTCAACAGTATATTTCGATACAAACAACAACAATAACGCACACACATAATGTCATGCCTGTATACGACTCGTGCGTGTAAGTGTACAAGTAGTAGCTATCGTTCTTACAACTAGTGATTACTTTTATCCTGCTGTCCTCGCTTAAACATTTATAGTAAAATATATGTGCTATCGTTTGAGCTGATTTGCCCTAGAGGCGAATTGCTGTCGATCCGCTGGCGGAACGAGAAATTCCCTGCTTAAAAAAAAAATTATCTCTATCTCGGATGATAATTCATGTAAGAACTCTAACGGCGGATCTTTCAGCGATTAATTTTGCGTTAAACGGCATCTTTGTCTGATTTCTCATCAGAGTACAAATCGAGCAGGTCTACGAAAGAAAATACTTCGTTACGTATCCGTTGTTCACATAATGAATAATATTTAACTTTGTCTCAAGTACTAAGGAATGATGAGAATATCTGTAAACCGAATCTTTAATCCGAACAATGTCAATGTATCAGATAATCGGCTCCCATTAAATATAAATGCACCGTACAATTGCATCGCATTCGAAATTGACCTCGAAGCCAATGTAGTGTCGATAACTCGTTATTTCTTCTTCTTTTACGACAATTGTAAGAAAAAACATATCGTCAATCACAGTGCCGATTTCAACCGGTCAGTCTCGCCTTGCACGCAGATTCCAGTATCGAACGGATTTTCTCGTGGATCTTTAATACCGTAGAGAAACGTGCGTTGCACGCGAGTATACGATGCATTCCCTTGGAAAAGTGCATCGGAACCTTGTCTTAATGTCAAAGAAGAATGCACTTCTCGTTGGCATCGTCAGGGCGAGATCTCAAGGGCTGGGAAGGCGCCGGGATCGGCGAAGGTGGTCTTCCTTCCACGGCTTGAATGCTCTTCATTAATTCTCTGAAGACCTGCGGCATTCAATAAGTAATATCATTCATACTTTTATGCTATATTGTATATGTACATACCTTGTCGAGTAAACGATACGTAATAAAACCTACCTGGACTACTCGACAGTTGAAACGTGCACTGCACTCCACGTATCCGCACCTCCAATGTTTTCTAACTAGATTTACGATATCCCGATATCTGGTACCAGAAGCAGCATTACTTGATAATTTGTCTTGCTTGTTCCCTACGACGAGCAGAGGGACGCCTCTCATATCTCTCGCTTCGTAGATCTGTTCTCGTAGTGTTCTGATGTACTGCCAAAAAACAAGATTCTAGGCGTTAGTATAATTACTTATTATAAGCCAGAGACGATAAGGTGTTAAAGTAATGCGCAACTGGCATCGAAGAGGTCTTGTTTACGAAACTTTTCTTCGAACTGGATGTACCGAATCGTTTCAAACGTTGCAAAATGAATATTGAGGCTATACGGAAGATCCTGCCACTCATGAAGTTTCATTCATTAATCTTTCTTTTATAAACTATATATGAAATGAAATTTATGGGTGTCAAGACCTTAAGGAGTATTTTCTTAAGTGGAGTATGCCATTTAGTACAATACCTAACATGATTTGACACAGCTGTCAATATAAAGCGAACGTCGGCAACGTATCTACTTAGAAAAATCTTCTTTACCGACGTTCCTCGACGCGTTTCGCTTCACCTTAAGGTGAAGTGAAACATCCTTCAAATCAGTCGATTCGAAT